TAGGGCATGTGCTGTTGCTAGTGGTAGGGCATGTGCTGTTACTAGTGGTAGGGCATGTGCTGTTACTAGTGGTAGGCCATGTGATGTTACTAGTGGTAGGCCATGTGCTGTTGCTAGTGGTAGGGCATGTTGGAAAGGGTTCAGAGAAGGAATACTAGGATGATAGCTGCAATGGAATGGCTGGTATACGAAGATGGGTTAAAGTCTCTGAAATAGTGTTTTCTTGAAAGAAGAACAGCTGGAGGGGATGTAATTGAGGTGTTAAAGATTGTTAAAGGAATTGACCTGTTGATGCATAATTTCTTTCAATACTTAATGGTGAGAATGGCAAGATTAGGGGACACGTGTATAAGTTTTGGCAGGACAGGAGTCATCTTCAACTAAGACAGTTATATAAGTATACTAAGACAGGGTGGTTGACTTTGGATGTAAAGGATGCAGTAGATTTAAGGGTATTTTATGGGAAGGTTCGATAAATATTTGAATGATAATGACTGGTTTTGACCTTTTTTTTCTTCAGTTGATGGGATGGTCCAGATGGACCAACAGGTCCCTTTTTGTCCTTAAATGTTAAGTATAGCACAAACACTGAATACAAACATCATCCTCACAGTTAACTGTGCAGACTTATTGAAGAAACTATTCTTGGAATATTTAGAATTAACTTCCCTAACACAATTAACCAACCTAAAAACCAAAACTAACATATACTATAGTACAGTAAAGTTTATTGCTTGACTTAAAGTATGGCTTTTCTTCCTAAACATCAAGAAACAGTTTGTGAGTGTTTGTTCCACTGTGATATACAAAGCTTAATACCCCTTTACAAACAAGAGGCTGGATGTGTTATATCAAAATGATTTTCAAGTATCACCATGTCCAGTCATGTTCCATCTGATGACCAGGAATCTTAAGAATAGTCCTAAAGCATAGTCTCCATTGCAAAGGGATCTGTTATAAAGCTATCATGTTCAAGCAGCATCACTTCTCCCTTCTTACTTTTCATAATCCATCTTGTGTACAAGAACAAAGAGTTCCCAGCTTCAGTTTGAATATTCTGATTGTACAGAAATTAACAGTTGCTACATCTGGAAAGTCTTCACATGGAATAGCATGAATGCTCATTTCATTCTACAACTGCTTGAAGGTTGAACAGGAGGCATGACTGGGAAGCCTTATTGTGATGAACTCAAACTCTGTTGACCTTCTTTGCAGATAGAAGTACTTCTTGATGATGTTTACTGTTGCCTGGGCTTGGTGGTTGGATTTTTCCACTGACCTTTCTGCTCATGGATTATTACCTGTTACAAGATATTGCACTTTGCTTAATATAGCTGAGGTATGTTGTAGGTCTCTTCCTGGATGGTCCCCATTTTCATAGCTGATCCATGCTCCTTTGTTTTCCAATGCCACTGACCATAAGGGATATTCCAGTCTTGGAAATTCTAAATCCCTGATTTAAACACATCCTTATGATTTGAGTGTATGAATGTTTTGCATAAGAAAGTGCTTTTACATACTCTTTTCATAAGCCATCAATGTGGAGTTTCATCACACTATCTATAAAATGCCAATCAATTTTGTTCTAATACATATTGTTCAAGTGCAGGATTATACTGGTTGTGTTTGTCATGTGAGTTGCTGATTTGTGTATTTAAAACCATTTTAAGACAACATACTCAACCCTCTGTAAACAATTACAGTACACTAAAGCTAATAATAATCTAAATCATATCATACTTTACAAGCTTTCAGTGTAACATTTTCTGTTGATGTGGACTACACTAACTACCACAGATTATTAACTAAAATATTCTATATTCTAAACTTTCAACATTCTAAAACTATAAACTAACTCCTACATATAATATTAATCTAAGTGGCTAACCAAGTATTATTTCCCCCCACACTACAAACTTGTACGCTTGACGACAAGTCTTCAGTTTACCCACACTACAAACTTGTACGCTTGACGACAAGTCTTCAGTTTACCCACACTACAAACTTGTACGCTTGACGACAAGTCTTCAGTTTACCCACACTAAAAACTTGTACGCTTGACGACAAGTCTTCAGTTTACCCACACTACAAAATTGTACGCTTGACGACAAGTCTTCAGTTTACCCACACTACAAACTTGTACGCTTGATGACAAGTCTTCAGTTTAACTTTTCTATTTCTACAATGGCTATTCTGAATGTGAAGATCAGAACAAACCAATAAAAGACATAACAAGAACTGAGAAACAGTTATTAATAACTGTAAGAACAAATGTAAAACAATTTTAATTTAGATTTCATATTAGTCATTCAATTCTAGAAGTAAATAAAACTGTTAACCACAGTTTAATCTTTATTTTAACTATTAGACATATCTTAATCCTATATTTTAGCTATTAGACATATCTTAATCCTTTATTTTAGCTATTAGACATACCTTAATCCTATATTTTAGCTATTAAACATATTAAAATAAAAGATTAAGGTATGTCTAATAGCTAAAATATAGGATTAAGGTATGTTTAATAGCTAAAATATAGGATTAAGATATGTTTAATAGCTAAAATATAGGATTAAGGTATGTCTAATAGCTAAAATATAGGATTAAGGTATGTTTAATAGCTAAAATATAGGATTAAGATTTATTTTAACTATTAGACATATCTTAATCCTTTATTTTAGCTATTAGACATATCTTAATCCTTTATTTTAGCTATTAGACATACCTTAATCCTTTATTTTAGCTATTAGACATACCTTAATCCAATATTTTAGCTATTAGACATACCTTAATCTTTTATTTTAACTATTAGACATATCTTAATCCTATATTTTAGCTATTAAACATACCTTAATCCTATATTTTAGCTTTAGACATATCTTAATCCTTTATTGTAGCTAGACATATCTTAATCCTATATTTTAGCTATTAGACATACCTTAATCCTTTATTTTAGCTATTAGACATATCTTAATCCTATATTTTAGCTATTATACATATCTTAATCCTATATTTTAGCTATTATACATATCTTAATCCTATATTTTACCTGTGAACCTTCTTCTGTCCCTCCTACTATACGAAACCCAAATCCATTCTCTTGCCTTACAAGTGTTACAGTCATTTCCAAGCTATCTGGTATCTGGCCAAGTGGTGGTGGTCGTGAAACAGTTGTGCCATAAGGATTAGGGCTAAGGCTACTGTTAGTGGATCTTGAGTCTCTTGGTATGTGGTTTAATGAAATAGCAGCAGGTTGTTCATGTTCAAACGATGTGGTGTGCTTTCGTTGGGTAAGACTGTCATATTGAGGACCTACTCTAGAGTTACTTGGTGGGACGTAGTAGGACGAAGGTGGGGTGAAATATGTGGACCCTGCTTCATTACCAGGGTCATGAAGGCTTAACTCACTGGATGGATATAACATGGTACTGTAGCTGTGACCTGTACTGTAGGGAGAGTACCCAGAACCTTTCCTACTGTGGTTAAATACAGAACTGAGATCCCTGAAAGAGTCTCCCATATCACCATAGCCACGAACATAGCCCATATTAACCCTACTGTGATATGACTCATTTCCTGCCCTGTCACTTTGTGCACCTGGACTGTGTGAGTACAAAGGGTTTCTTAGAACTGGCCCAATGTCTCTATCTCCATGGTGATATGGTGTGTAACCATACAACAATTCCCGCCTCCTGTCACCTTCACTAGTATTTATACCCGACTCTCGAAAGCTGTGGTAGTTCCACAGAGATTCCCTTGCATGATCTCCATACCATGACTTCTCAGCACTAGCTCGAGATGAGCCATTCTGATCCACAACTTTTAACAAACCAGAATAAGTTCCATCTCTACCAAAGGACGTGGATCTTGATTCCCCACACACAGTTAGATTTGACACATTTCCTGTACCACCAGAAGGTGACTTGGAAGATTCTTGCTGAAATTCACTGCTCGGTGCCCTAATCCAATTCCGAGTATCAACGAGTGGAGTTTTTGGTCGATTGATGGAGATAGACTCTTTGTCTCTTGAACTGTACAGGTCAGCTGTAGGAGTTTTACTTCTGTAGGCTCCAGGAACAGATGGAAGATGGCCTTCATCAGCTGTAGGAGTTTTACTTCTGTAGGCTCCAGGAACAGACGGAAGGTGGCCTTCATCAGCTGTAGGAGTTTTACTTCTGTAGGCTCCAGGAACAGACGGAAGGTGGCCTTCATCAGCTGTAGGAGTTTTACTTCTATAGGCTCCAGGAACAGAAGGAAGATAGCCTTCAATGGAAAAATAACAGATCAAAGGTCTTTTTTAAAAGTTAAGAGACAATAATAAAGTTTGAACATTTTATGTGCAAGTATTTTGAAACAATTCCATATTATGTCAAAGTCAGAATAATTAAAAAGGTTTATTTATTGTATGTCTATTCTGTCAGAATGAAGTCAGGTCCTCAGTTTTGCTTATGAAACACACTTTATAATGTAGCCAAAGTCCTCTATAATTGCCATCCTAATTTCAATCTTTTGATAAACACTGACAAATTTTATAACAAAAAGTATATTGACAGAATCAATTTACATTCATGTTGTTATTACATTTCTTAATCTGGAGTCTTAACGTACCAGAATCATGTAGAGAAGGTGAACTATTGTCTGATTTATGGACACTACTGGAGTTCAATATACCTGAATCATGTAAAGAAGGTGAACTATTGTCTGATTTATGGACACTACTGGAGTTCAATATACCTGAATCATGTAAAGAAGGTGAACTATTGTCTGATTTATGGACACTAGTGGAGTTTAATATACCTGAATCATGTAGAGAAGGTGAACTATTGTCTGATTTATGGACACTACTGGAGTTTAATATACCTGAACCATGTAGAGAAGGTGAACTATTGTCTGATTTATGGACACTACTGGAGTTTAATATACCTGAACCATGTAGAGAAGGTGAACTATTGGCTGATTTAT